TGATACCCTTATACCAAACACCACCTCAAGGTAATGGTAGGTCACACACATATATGCCTTTAAACCTCAACATATATAATGCCTTTAAACCTCTATGTTGTGGATCCCATTTTTTTTGAAAAAATAAAATAAAAAAAATAGAATCACGTATCGTGAAGAGTCGGCTGCAAAAATCAATCTTCTCCTACAGTAGGAGAAAGATGATTTCCATTATATAACATTACTTTTTTATGTAACATGAGAAAATAATTCTCCATATATATAATGTTTGTTATTTCACATGATATAGGAGATAAAATTATCTCTTGTACACTCATGCAGGACCATATAAAAAGAAGAAAAGAAAAAATATGAACTCCAAATACTTTTATGCAGTGACGGATCCACTTGTGGGAAAATGTCCGCAAGTGCGGTCATAAAAAAATTTATTTCAGTTTTTTTTTATTGCAAGTCCTTATTTGTCTCTTAATTCAATATATATATTAGGAGTAAATATCTTTTTAAGTCCCTAGCAAAAAACATGATCTCCATTTTAATCCCTTACAAAAAAAATTAATCTAGAGGTTCCTAAAAAATTTAAAGTGAATCAATTTAGTTAAAATCTTGGTCTCTTACAAATTCAAAAAATATCAAAATTAGTCCCTCAAAAAGACCAAAATTGGTCCACTTTGAATTTCATTGGGTCCAGGTGACTAATTTTTTTTATAATGGACTAAAGTGGAGACCAAATTTTTTGTTAGGGACGAAAAAAGATATTTATTCTTATATTAGTTAGCAACGTACGGAGAAGATTAAAACAACGTAGCAACGCAAATTGATTAGAGATAAAACTTATTCTCCCTCCCTTGTCACATACTCATTCTCATGCTCTCTTCATCCTTTGTTTCCTTTTTCATTTTTATAAAAAAAAAAAGATTGATGGCAGGTCTGACATTCTCAAATAAGTTAATATCTAGAGACGAGACCTTCACTGTGATTTTGTTTGCCTTATGTACTAGTAGTGTTGACTTTTTTATTCACCACTATAAAATAGAATGATGATGTATGGTAAAATTTAGGGGGGAATAATTGGTCAAAATATTGCATGCAGCTTGTTATGGAAGAAACTAGATTTTGAGCTGCTTTAAGCGTTAATTTAAACTTTCTTTACAAAAAAAATTTTTGGGGGCAGCCCCACTAATTGTGCGGACATAAATTTTTTTTCCTGGGTCTGCCACTGCTTTTATGTATATATATATAAAAAATTATCTTATAATATAAGAGATATTAATTCATACATATTTATATATATATATATAATAGTTTAAATGTTTAAGAAATAACTTAATAAATCATGTCAAATTAAAAAAGTACACCGTTTACACGTCAAAAGTATGACAGATTCGTCAAGATTTTCCGCTTATGTGCCACTTGTCACGTACTTTGTAAAATAATTTCGATTTGAAACGCGGCAAACATAAGCCCACCTACTTTGTATTGAAGTTTTACTTTTTGTATAAAAAAATAAAAATAAAAACATTTTTTTTATTGGAGATATGAGACGGGAATTATCAAATTTTAAATCACTTTATCATAAAAGTTATGATTTGTCATCAATTAATTCTTTCAAGTGTATGGTTAGAACTCTATTTGAGTGTAATCAACTTTTCTTAATTGTTCGATGAAACTTGTATACAAATATAATTTCACTAATTAGGTAATATTTAGAAAGAAAAATTATTATTTTAAGATGAAGAAATATCTTCATATCATTTTAGTATAGGGTTAACATTTGTTTTAGCTGATTTGACAACATTATAATTTTAATGAATTTTAAATCCTTACTAAAAGCATGATGTAGTCAAAGCTAAAAAAATCCCATGAAACAAGAAAGTATGAAACACACCTTTCATGGGTTTTTTATCATTGTGTCCTTTATTAATTAAAAAATAATTAATTTATCTCTTACCCAAAATATTTCATAAATTTGTTCTTATTTAATCATTGACCGAAGGTTTAATTGATTATCTCACGGACGTAATCGGTTAAACCTTAAAAAAAAACATTATAACCCCTTGGACCAAATAGGAGATTTTTAACAAATATTTCTAACATTATGCAATCAGTAGTGTAATCGATTATTTTTGGGTCAAGAGTCAATTTTTTTTTAAGGTTTAATCGATTATGCCCGTTAAGTAATCAACAAACCTTCAATTAACGGTCAAACATATATAGATTGGTCGAATATTTTGAATAAAGGATAAATTGATTATTTTTTAATTAAAAAGAGACACAATGGTAAAAAAAAACACACATTTCACGCTTTACAAAGTATTGTTATGCTTAGTGACACGATATTTTCGGTACTAGTGTTTTTTAATACAAAATATAAATTCAGTGTTTTTAAATAGCCATATGTATTTGAGGAGTTTTAAGAAGCGACTTATTGATAAAAACATATGTATACTCTGATTATTTAAATCAATTTAAGTTAATATGGCATACACAATAGATAAGTCAGATGATTATTTCCCTCCTTATAAATTTTTAATGATAACATTTTTTATATGATTTTTCCTCTATTATTCAACCGCTTTTGCTGTAATCGCTGTGGAGAGTGCTCGTGCATGAATGTTTTAACTTGACCAGAGAGAGAAGTCTAACAACGAAGTAGCATAATTATCGCTCGTGTTTTGTTCTTCTGGCCTGTGAGCAGCTAAGATGACCTTCATTATGCACGTGATGTTAATCAAACCAAAGTTTGACATGATTATCCCATCTTTGAATTCCGAATGGATTCAAGTCACGGCAAATAAGAAAAACAAAAAATCCAAATTTGATTTATGTAGTATCACAGTGCCAAATATACTATAGTCTTCCATGTAAATTGTCTTTTGAAATTATGTAAAAAAAGATTATCAAGCAAAATTAATTAAAATTTAACCTTATGGCTGGTATAATAATCTTATTAAAAATCCAAGCATATACGTACATTTTAATTTAATCGATCGTAAAAGATAAGAACCTCCTTTCACTACTGAAAGACAACATTAAAAAAATGAAACAGTAACACATATATCATGAAATAAACATTTTTTTAAAAAACGACTTTTTACCAACAAAAAAAACCGACTTTTATCTCATATATGATATGTTAGGCATTGTTTGTCAAGTAGACTACTCAAGAAGAATGAACTTTATGTGTGGGAAACAGAGAAAATGCGACCGAGTATATAATTGACTAAGCTTTTGGTAAACTTAGAACTTGAATAAACTCGTCAAAATTGGCCGTAAGAATTTTCCTTCTATATACTAGTCAAGTTAAAAGGAAGCATGCAAGAATGGGCATGGGAAAAAGGTGATTAAGCAAAACTTCTAAGAGAAGCAAAATTGGAATTTTAACGCTTTTAAACAACTTTGACAAGAAGTTAATTAAACTCTCTAGGAGTATATAAAAAATTCAATGTTGTCATTTGTGGAGACGAAATTAACAAAAAGTAGTAGGTGTCCTTAATCCTTGTTTTCTCCTCCATCAATATGGTAGGTTTTTCTGAACCCAAACCTTCCAAATCTTTCACTTAGCCAATGAACTAAAGCCATCTCTTACTCCGAATCTTCACGTGGCACAAAACCAATTACATCTCAACATTCAAAAAAATAAATAAAATAAAATGTAAAAGTAACAACCATTTGACTACACCGCCTCCCCTTTTTGTAATCTTCAACGTTTTGATCATATTATTTGTCAACCACACAAATCTCACAAGCGAAGCTAGCATACTTGTCAAAATTACACCACCGTCGACGTTCACAAAAATCCACACACATCACTAAATTTCATGTAACACCAAACCCCACCCTTGTTTTTTGGCGTTCCTTTTCTTTTCAATTTGGATTTTCACCAAATTAACACTCCACAAATAAACCAAAACATGCCGATCTCTAATTTGTTCCTTTTCCCATGTCTAATCCACGTTAATAAAACTCTACAACGTCACCAATCAATCAAGGAACATTCGAGTGCATTACACCACACTAATATATATTGACCATGACCAACCACGTCACCGCCCTATCTTTTCTAAGAAAATGACCCAAAGCCCTTGAAAGGCACACCCGTACCCATAATTCAGAGCCCAAGAAGGTTGATGAGTGAAAGAAACACCTAAGCCAGAAAAAAAGAGGAAAGCACCAAATAAAAAAGCGAGGGTTACGTGTACACGTGTAGAACAATTGAGACACACACCGCTCGAGCTTTATGCTGCTTTCCTTTTCTATCTTCCCTGTAGTAACCAAATTCCAGCCTAACTCTTAATCTAACACATGGACACGTGCCTGGCCCGCACGTGCCCACTCCTTCGTGCCGACGTGGCTTAAACCCACGCGTCTAAAAATGAGTTCAAATCAATATATTATTATTTTTGAAAAATTATATCCCATCCCACAAACAGTGTGTGTCAAAATCTGGATAGTGCATAGTGGATGGCAATTTTGCTTCTAGAAAATCTTTGCAGGGTTCATACGTGTCAGAATTATCTCGTCGGCTTCTCTTTTCATATAAATAAATAAGAATTTATGTTTTCTTATGTTACATAAGAGAATAATTTTTCTTACAAACACATAATTAATTTCAAATCAATTTTATTTTATTTCAATTATAAATGGATCCCATATTAAAAATGATATCTATGGCTGAAGATATATTTTTTTATATCACATAACAAAACATAAATCCTATAAATAAACTCTTCATGTAGATCCCTAGAATATTCGTATTTTATTTTCTGAAAAGAACATAGTTTTATAATTTACCTTTTAGTTTTACGGTCATATACATTGCATCCACGATTGTACCGGAACCAGATAAGGTCGAGTGCAGGATGCTTTTTGCAAGAGAACACGTGGCGAAGTCCAAGAGGCGAGTAACTCAAGTGGACCCCATCATTGAACACTGAGACAAAGATAACCGTCTTATCTCGATTAATGTGTTGCTATAAATAACGGTCCCTGTCTTCTGTTTATTGAGAAAGAAAAAAAACGAAAGAAGAAAAAAAAAAAAACTCTAGTTTCCCCTTCACTATTGTAGCTAGCTGTTGTTGTTTCTTCTTCTAATTTGATAATGGGAGTTCCAGAGAAAGACCCTCTTTCCCAATTGAGTTTGCCACCTGGTTTTCGGTTTTACCCCACCGACGAGGAACTCCTCGTTCAGTATCTATGCCGCAAGGTAGCTGGCCACCATTTCTCACTTCAAATCATTGCTGAAATCGACTTGTACAAGTTCGACCCATGGGTTCTTCCAAGTAATTTAACTCTATACCCATCTCTCATTTTCATTTTTAAAAAATAAAAATCAAGTCTTTCTTTAGTCTCTGTTCTAAATTAAATATGATTAATTTTGCAGGCAAAGCAATCTTCGGCGAGAAAGAATGGTACTTTTTCAGTCCCAGAGACAGGAAATACCCGAACGGGTCCCGACCCAACAGAGTAGCCGGGTCCGGGTACTGGAAAGCCACCGGAACCGATAAAATCATCACCACCGAAGGGAGAAAAGTTGGTATAAAAAAAGCTCTTGTTTTCTACATTGGCAAAGCTCCAAAAGGTACCAAAACTAATTGGATTATGCACGAGTATCGCCTCCTCGACTCTTCCCGAAAGAATGGCAGCGCCAGGGTATGTGTGTTTATATATAATATTTATATATATTTAATTATTTACCGTTTAATGTGTTATTTGATTACTACAACGTTGTTGTTGAATCCTTTCGATGCAGCTGGACGATTGGGTTCTGTGTCGGATATACAAGAAGAATTCTGGCTCGCAAAAAGCTGCGTTAAACGGTGGCGTTTCGAGTAGCGGAGAATATACTCAATATAGCAATGGCTCGTCGTCTTCGTCGTCTTCACACCTCGACGATGTTCTGGAATCTTTGCCGGAGATAAACGACAGGTGTTTCGCCCTGCCACGTGTCAACTCGATGAGAACTCTGCTGCTGCAGCAGCAGCAGCAGCAGCAGCACGAGGAGAAGCTCAATCTTCAGAGCCTTATGATGGATTGGTCTAACCCGGTTATGAACTCGGTTTCGGAGTTCGTTTCGGGTAACCAAGGGGTTCAGGGCCAAACTCAGGGGATGGTGAATTATGGTGGTTGTAATGACCTTTATGTCCCTTCGGTCCCGCCGTTGTGCCACGTGGACTCGTCGGTGCCGGGGAAGATGGAGGAGGAGGTTCAGAGCGGTGTCAAAACCCAACGGGTCGAGAATTCTGGGTTTTTTCAGCAGGGTATGAATGAGTTCACGCAGGGATACTCGAACTCGGTGGACCCGTATGGGTTCAGATACCCGGTTCAGCCGGTCGGATTTGGGTTCAGGCAATGAACCGGGTTGGGATGAGTAAATGATATTTAGTCAGGTGCATTCTTGTAAATAGGTGGGGATTCTTTGGGCTAACAGGTTGGGCTATTAGATTCCAAAAAAGGTTTTTAGATAAACGCAATTTTTGGTCCTCGTTTTCGGCTAAAGATGGAAGGGGATACATTCGATGAATCAAATGCACAAGATAATGGAACCAAAAAAATAAAATCAATTGGTTATTTATGATGTATGGCTAAACTATGCAATGTTAGGTTTCCTTTCAATCTTGATGTGATATTTTAAGCTAACCACATCATTGGTGGGCGCAACCACGTTAATACAATATCGATCAATGATATATTTTTCGTATTTTTTTATATAATAGAAACCGAGAAAAATGGAGGATTTTAGTTTATATGTTATGTGCTTTAGATAGTGCTAAAATTGAATATTGCAATATTCACGTGTAAATGAGTCGTCATCGTTGAAGGAGTGATCCTAATTTCGATGAGTAGGTGCATTGCCAATATGAGAAAGAAAGTGATAAGATTTGTATGTGAAACTCCAAGATGCATGTATAGAATTCGATAGTTAAAAGTCTTGTTCAATGACAATTTCAAATAGAGAATAAAAAGAAAAATTTAGAGAAGAAAAAGTACGCGAAACTAACAGAGATCTATCTAAGTGAAGAAAAGTCTAAGCATGATTAAGTTAAGGGGAATGGATCTCTCACACACTGTTTATGGATAAATTAATATCAATAAGAGAGTACTAACCAAATGATTTGTCTATGGGTAACAAAAATTACTTCACATAAATTCATGTTACATGATAAATTGATTCCGGATGTTTGACTGCGAGTAATTGTTGAACATTACAACAAAATGGTATTGTAATATCAAATTTAATGTGTAAATTGTAATGTAATCAAGTTTTCCTGAGATTCTAGGCTCTTAGGTGGTGTTTGGTTGAAAGCTTTTTAGGGGATATCTATCTTTCTCAAGTATGGCTTTTAGAAACACCATGTTTGTTTCAAAGTTTTTCACCAAAAACCCATTTATCCAATTTGTCTGGATTTATGAGAAACATAGATATCCGCACTGTTTAGAAACTCAATTTGAAGGTGGGGTTTTTCGGAAAACTGGTTATCTGGCTTTTAATGCACTGTTGATTTCATAAAGTTACATAATTTTTCCAGTAAAGTTTTTCTCTACCAAACAACTTTTTTTTACATTTTTCAAGCTATCTCAATTTATCTATTTTTTCAATCATTTCTCTATCTATCTCATTTCCCTACTTTTCCAAAAAAAATTCATCAACCAAACGCCCCCTTAAAGTGCTGTCTAGATAGAGATCTTTGAAAAGGTTACTTTCACGAGGGGAAACAACGCTGATTTTCGTTGTGTTGTTTTTTAATTAGAAAAACGGAGCCAAAGAAAACGATTTACTTAAATTATAATATATGGGACTCAGCAACTGTTTATAATTCTTTCATGTGCTGATAGTATGAGATGGGACCAATTAAAAATGGGTAAATTAAATGACAAGTGCACCATTGTGCTTTCTTGAAAACATGCACATTTTATTTATTTTAATTAAGGGAAAAGAATTTATCTGAGATGATTGGAGATAAAGTTATTTTCAGTGAACTCAATATGACGTCGTTTTGAGATTATAAGATTAAAAAATTATACTAATAAAGACTAATGTAGTCCTGCAATATATTAGAAAGCTTTAATGTTTTATCTATATTCTGATGTGAGTCTAGCAGATGATGTTTTCTAACTTAAAAGAAGCAAGGAATTAATCATAAATGTGTGAAAATATTCATTAAATGCAAGAAATATTGATTATTCCTTCTCAATCATGCTCTCACTCAAGTTATATGTTAAATAGCACGAAACGCCGCAAAAAGGAGCAAAAACGGAGAAACCAAATTTCCCGCTGGCGCACGACGCACGGAGGTTGGCGCACGGAGCGCCAAACTGGCGCACAGGGCGCGGTACCTGGCGCACGGGGCGTCAAATCGATGATTTGCTTCTGTTTCGACCGCGCACGGCGCGCGGGAGGTGGCGCACGGCGCGCCAACCTGGCGCCCGGTGCTCGAGAGTTGGCGCACGGAGCGCGGGACTGGCGCACAACACTCCAGAGTTGGCGCTCGGGGCGCTGTTTACAGATTCAGCTTCTGTTTCTCCCAAGTTTGGAGCGCCAGGCTTGGCGCCCCGTGCGTGGGCGATATATTTTTAAGAGCGAATCAGCCAAAATAAGGCCCAATGGGAGTGCAAGTGAAAAGAGGTTTTCCCAAAACCTAATAAAAGGATCTGAAACATAAGAAGAAGAACTTTTGGGAGAATCAAGAGGAGAAAAACAACAAAGAGAGCAGAGATTTCTTGGAGCTTCTCGGAGATTCAAGGATTCGATCGATCAAGACGGAAGATCTTCATCTTCCCTTTCTCTTCTAGGTTTTAAATGCTACTTTATTTTATTGTTATTTTGTCAGACATTAACATGTCTGGCTAGTTTCATCATTGTGGTAAGGGTCACAACCCTTGATGTGAACCCCTTGTACCTTGGTTGAAATTTACGTTTATCTATTTTAATTGAGTTTATCTTTTCTTGTTCTTCATTTATAATTCTATTGGAACTGATCAATCTAGTAGGATTGCGAGGGTTAGGGTTTTCGATAGGGATGTTGGAATTCTAATTCCTGACAAAGAATAAGATAATTGTTCATGTACGCACTAGGGATAGGCTACATGAACAACGAACGTTAAAGGTTCATTGATTCTAAGGGTTAACTCGAAAAGGGATTTCTAAGGGATTAGGATTCTAATAGAGTTGACTAGGTTAAGATCACTAAGGGATTAGGGCTTAACTAATCATATAAAAGATGATGAATTGTTCGATCAATTGAATAGGTAAATGTAAACGTAATCCAAGTTGCAAGGTGGGGATCGGAAAGGTGTTTGTTTCTCTTACCGCAATATTTTCTCAAATATTTTCCCAATCCTTAATCTTTTGTTCTTGCATTCTGAAAACACTTTTGGAATCATTTACATTTTTACTTTAATTATTTTAGTTTGTTTCATGAACTACAATCATTCTCAACCTATTTTGATTAATCCAACAAGAGAGGAATAGTTATAACAACTTAGGTGCCTCAATCCTCGTGGAGACGATACTCTACTCACTCTTTGTTACTTGGTACGATCGGTGCACTTGTCGATTTTACGCATCAAGTTTTTGGCGCCGTTGCCGGGGATTGACTACGCCAAGTTATTTAACTTTTGATTTTCTTGCTTGGATCTTTGTGTTACTAATCTGTTTGCTTTAGTTTATGCGTGGTACAGTTGATCCTGCAACTTTGATTTACGATCCAGAGATAGAAAGGACTGCAAAGAGGATAAGACAACATACCAAGCAAAAGAGGCAAACAGAGGCTTCTACTTCACATTCTGAAGCAGAAAATTCTACTCCACACTTTGAAGTAGAAACAGAGATGGCAGAAGAAAATCCACCAGCAGCTGAGCTAATGGAATCAGTTTTGGCTCCTCAATTCACAAGGCCAAACTCGAGTATTGTCAAACCACCGATTGCTGCTAATAATTATGACATCCAGCCAGCACTCATCACATTGGTGGAGAAAACTCAGTTTGGTGGAGAGGACTATGAAGATCCTCACGACTTCATAGACAGATTTTTAAGGATCTGTGATACAACTAAACACAACGGAGTGTCAGACGATGCGATCAGACTCCGATTGTTCCCGTTTGCATTGACCAGGCGAGCTCTCAAATGGTTGGATCGACAAGCTCCCAACAGCATCAGAACATGGGAGGATTTGGCGGCTAAATTTTTTGCTGAGCACTTTTCCATGGAAAAGTACAATAAGTTGGTGAATGAAATCACCAATTTTACCCAACAACCAGGAGAGACTTTATGTGCAGCCTGGACTCGATACCAGGAGTTGATCAGAAAGTGTCCACAATATGACTTGCCAGATACAAAGAAGGTCAGAGTCTTCTATAATGGGATGACGCCAGAATGCAGAATGATTGTCAATGGTGCAGCTGGTGGCACCATAGGAAAGAAGACAGCAGATGAGACCTTAGAGCTGCTGGATTTAATGGCAAGGAATGAGAATGCGTCTATGGCAGCAGCATTCCCATCTGTTCAGCCCAAGAAAGGAATTTTACAATTGGGGAATAATGATGCATCACTGGCTGAGCAAAAAGTGATTTCACAGCAATTGGCCAGTTTGAATGCCAAGCTGGACAAGATGCAGCTCTCAACATCCAAGGTTGATATATTTAACTGTGAGTATTGCAAGGAGCCGCATGATACTAATGAGTGCCCTGCACTCAATAGAGCTGAACCATTCCAGGTCAATGGAATTTGGTATGATCCAAGGCCTCCACAGAATATTCAAAGTTACCAAAGGAATCAGAATGGCGGCCAAGGAAATAACTTTCAAAGGAAGAATCAAGGGAGCGGCTTGGATTATAAATCCAACAACTATCTGCAACCTCCTCCTCTGCCACAAAAAGAGCCATCTGAATTGAAGAAATCGATGATACAACTTTCCAAAACCACTAATGATCACATAAATGAGACAAGAGCCTACCACAAGAACCAAGACGCTTCAATCAGAAACTTGGAAACTCAAATTGGCCAACTTTCAAGACAACTAGCTGAGAGGAGTCAAGAAAAGAGCGTTGCAGTGTCAAAGGAGCAATGCAATGTCATCACTACAAGGAATGAGGAGCTAGAAAAAGAGAAAGTTGAAGTCTCTACAAGAAAGGATGAACAAGCTCAAAAGGATGAAGAAGAAGCAAAGGAACAACCTCCTGCAGTTCAAAAGAAGCAATGGGATTTCTCACGTTTTGAGAAACTCCCATATCCAATGAGGCCAAAGCAAAATGAGCAAAGGAAGCAATTGTCTAAATTTTTAAATATTTTTAAGAAATTGCAGATTAATATTCCTTTTGCAGACACTCTGGAGCAAATGCCCTCATATGCCAAATTCTTGAAAGAAACATTATCTAAGAAGAGGAAGCTCACAGAGAATGAACCTGTCACATTAACAGAGGAGTGCAGTGTAATCCTACAGAAAAACATGCCTCCAAAGTTGAAGGATCCAGGAAGCTTCAGTATTCCATGCATCATTGGCAAGACAACTATAGAGAGAGTCTTATGTGATCTTGGTGCCAGCGTTAATGTGATGCCATTAACCCTGATGAAGAAGCTGGGAATTGATGAAGTCAAGCCAACTAGGATGAATGTTCAACTGGCCGACCGCTCAACAAAGCAAGCACATGGTATTGTGGAAGATGTGCTAGTCAAGGTAGACAAAGTTCTAATTCCTGCTGATTTTGTTATCCTTGACATTGATGAAGATGCCAGTGTGCCTATGATCTTCGGGAGGCCATTCTTAGCAACCTCAGGAGC